TCCGTGGAGTTGAGCGTGATAAAGTTATCGTATCCGTATTTAACATCTCCGACGCTGAACAACGCATGGGAGAGCTCATGCGTCATCGTCTTTGTCTTGTCGCCTTCATGACACTCTGGATTATCAATCTGGTACCACGCATCGAACCATAACGGGCAGAACCTGACGTGAAGTTCCTCGCCAGCCCACACAGTCATCCCCAATACACCCGGTTCACAGCCGTCGAGGTTGTTGCAAAAGATCTTGACACGACCCTCGTTCATGTTTCGACATTCAGATCCCATCGCGAGAAAGCCGTCGTTGAGCTTCTTGCGAATCTGCTCAGTGTCGTCCTTGAAGAACTCCAAAATCCTCGTGTGATTGCCAGCGTCGGAAAGCGAGTTCTGCCATGCGGAATAGGCGCGATCAGAGCACAGACTGCGACATTGGTCTAGAATGTCGTACTGTTCGTGGGTGCAACCGCCTTGGAGGTTGAATTCGGTATTCCACTGGTTCGAAAGCCACGTCTGACGGGTCGCGGCTGCTTCAGATCCATCAACATTGACGGTAAGAGTGTTTGAGACGAAGGAGATGGTCTCTACGACCGATGATCCAGAGGTCGCATAGAGGAAGGTGCCTTGCGACACCAAATCTATCATACCGCCAGCCCCAAGATCGTAAACATGGGCGATATCGAAGTGCACGTCGACTGTCTCTGAGGGTGACAAAGCCTGGAATGAAGAGTCATTCAGCACATTGAGGTCGATGTCAACGTGGATACCGTAGAAAGGGAGCTTGTTGCCTGTACAATGCATTAGTATCTGCTCCGCCGTGCATTGGAAGCGACCTACCATCTTTCACGACAGTGATCTTATTGACGGCCAAGTCGCTTAGAAGACCATCAACTTTGACTAGGCGCAAAGGCTCGGATCCGGCGTTCTCGATCGATATCTTGACATTGGTGTTGCCCGCCATTTCCAAGTTGACTTTGACTTGAGGCGAAGAGGAAGCCGAATTTGATATACTTGGAAGAGCTAGAGAACTAGTAGCCAACGCGAACGCTGCAATTAAGCTATAGTAGAGGAACTTCATCGCTTCTAGCCGTTCAGTCGGTTGAGGTGAGGTGTACGGGAGACGAAGTCTATGATATGGCAGTATATTCTATACAGCACAAAGATATGACAGGAAGAATACGCAAGAAAGAAGTGGTCAAACGTAGTAAAAGAGGGATATATAATACGGGGGATACGACCTACCAAAGGAGTGGGGCGAGAGAGGATCTCGTGATTAACCCAGGGGCTAACGTCCACCTGACGACGTTGACCAGGACCTTTTATCCTTTACAGATGAGTTTATACCGTTGTTTGTCTATGAATAATGCCTACTATATGCCAACTGCAAGGCAATTTGACCAGGTGTGTCGTGGGCCCGTCTTGTGGCCTTGCTATGCACTGACGCCTATCAGCTCCTTCACTACCCCTTCCCAGTAGATACCTTGATCAGTCATCCTCTCCAAACGCGCCAAAAGGAGCATAGACTAGTCTTGATCTTTCACGAGATGAGTTCTCATCCTGCGACTAGCGTAACATGATCAGCTGAATACGTAACACTACCATCACGTCAGCAGAACTTGTCGAGTACCCGTAGCGACTACAACCATGATTCGACTGCCCAAGGATACCTGAGTAGTGTGTCTGCCGCATAAATGTAGTTCACCTCTTTCATATCACATATCCAAACCAATCACTTGGTGCATACATCCTCATTATCTATACAACCTGGTCAAGGTGTTCTGACTACGTCTCCTCCTGCCTCAAACTCAGAGGCTCAACTCCACAGAATACCAATTCTCACCCACCAACAAAGAATCCAACATCTCACCCTCGTCTATGCCTCGATGGCCAAGAACAGCCTCTAGCAGAGGCAAAGTTCTCTTTGCGGGGCCACAATGAAAAATTGTGACGAAAAACCGAATCCGTTTGCCCAGTTTCTCCACCTCATCTCTCGCCCAAGCAATGTAGCGAAGTTTTCGAAGTTCTGCAAGATCCCCAGTCTCGTAGTACTCGTACTGGATTTCGACTGCCCAGTACGTATACTTGTCCTTCGCCATTCTCTTGATGGCCCCAGCGAACTGAAAGCGACTTGGCCAGCGCAGTCCATAATGGACTGTAGCTTCTCGACGCATATCTCGGTTTTGACAAAGGTTTGCCGATGCACGTGTATATAGCTTGAGAGCTTTGAACAGCTCCCAACCGTACTGTCTGGTGCTCACCTTCACCGAACTTCTGCCTTGTCGCATCCTCCTCTCGTTCTCGACAGGGTACTGAATGACGACCCGCATGAACGAGTTCAGTGTGCGTTTTGCAGTTCGGCTGAGTCGCTCTGTGACTTGGAGATCGATCTCTGCAGGAGTGAGTTCAGCGAATAGGGATTCAGCCTCTCGGCATATTGCTTTGCAGGCGAGTAAGAGGTTCGTAGACGATTGGTGTTGCTCCAGATGTTCTTGTAGATTGATGGAGCCGGGCGCGGAGGTGCGTTGTGCCGATCTGCGTGAAGAGTGTATGAAGCACATGTCAAGTGCGTAATAGTAGATCCTGTTGCGGATTTCTCCGGGCAACTGGAACAGCGGACTCTGGGTTTGGGCGTGCATGGGTGGAGTGGGATCATAGGAGAGTTTCGCCATCTTGATCGTCGATCTTGATGAGTGTCAGCTTGTGCGCACGCATTACGAAGAGGTTGGTTTTTGCGAGCTGCATTTAAGTAAACCATAGCCTGATCGCCAGAGGTATGTCCTACGTTAGCAAAGAATAAATTAGTAACCATCGACTCCCACTACAATACAGAACACGTTCTGGCGCTCGCTGGCACAACCCAAATCTGAACGCTTGACTGAAAAGTATCGCAAATGACAGAACGCTCGATTAATTAGATTTCTAGAAAAAGCAGTACTTACTGGTCTCGTAGCGGATGTGACTGATCGAAAAAAATGAAGCCACAGCACTGGAGATCAAAACAACAAGAGCGTTTGCAACTAGCGCGGTGTCACCAGATGGTTGCCTGGCAAACGGACGGGGACGCGTTGATGACGTCGAGAAGATAACGTGGGAAATGAGCGGTCAAACAAGACTACTCAGTCTGAGAAGGGAAACTCGCAAAGAGCGGCGATTATAATTTGGATAAGGCTGCTGAGATATGACAGGATGACAATAACAGGGAAACTACGTACTTACATCGTGTTCTTCTGGCTACAGTTACCATCCTGGTAGCCAATCGCATTGAGCCCGTGGACTGAAGCGTTGCCACGAGCATACAAATCCTGGGTAAACCGCGATCTTGTGACCAGCCTTCGATCACCTGAAGAAGCAACATTCTCCTGTCGCGGTGAAGGCAGATTACCAAAACATCGACCCTGCATCGCATGTCTTCCTGTTGCTTTTTTACTTGCTGCTGCCTACCTTCTCTTTCTCTACCACAATCTCATCGCCGCGAACCTCTTTTGCCGGCACCAGGGAAAACATGACCGAAAGGATGGAAACTGACTGTTCCGATAGACATCGAGCTGCATCGCCAGCACTGACGGACATCTCGGAGCTGACCACACTATCAAGATCTCCAAGCCCGATCCCTGAGTACGACGCCTACGCTTCTCCCAAGAAGTGCCAGGCCATTTCGAGCGCATCAGATGAGCAGGAGCAAGGTGGTTTCGGAACTCTCGATAGGATTCCCATGGAGTTACGACAAGACATATACAGCCTCGCGTTCAATATCTACGAGCCTGTCGTAGTCAAAGAGTGCTGCCACCCTGGAACAACGGAGCGGATGCTAGAGCTATGTCCCAAACATGGCGCCAAGGCTCAATCTGAAGCAGGTCGTTTTAACATCCTCCAGGTCTCCAAAGCGATCAGGACGGAGGCGATGTGGGTCGTCTTCGCCAAAACCCCTCTTCTCCTCAATACAGAGGGCAGTATAAGCAAGTACTACTCCACCCTCCCCCGCCCGCGTACTCTCCGCAAGGTTATCGGCTACAGGAAGCCCACTACATGCAAGAGCGCAATCTGGAAGACAGCCAACCAGTTCCGTACCATCAAGATCGATCTCTCGGAAGACCTGCTGCAATACGGCAATCCGTACGCCTTTATCGATCGTCTGGTATGCATCGTAACACTGCTGTGCAAGGAGCAAGACAAGGAACCGGTTGCTTCGAAGTCGATCCACTTGAACCTCGGCAGCTTCTTCCAGCAAATGCTCCCTTTCAACGAGAAGTCCCAGCTAGATTCGCGGTATGGAGAGTATCTCGACTGGTTGTTCTTCCATTCCGACACCCACGAGCCAGACCACGGCAAGCTCGCGAAAGGTGTAATACGTAGCCTGCAGCGACTGGTGGCTACGATCGGCAAGCACTCTGGTCGCGAGCAGTGGAAGATCTTCGTGAAGACTGAGCTTCCGGCGGAGGACGAGGGCGGTGCGGAGGCGCTGCTCGAGTTTCAAGCCGCTTGCGCGGAGCAGGGTGTGGAGGTGTGTGAATTGGAGAGCTGAATGCTCGACTTGAGACAGGGCGCATGACCATCGTGTGCACTGAAGCAGCCATAGGAAAAGTCGTCGGTCACGTCTGGTAGGGCATCGGCGCGTTCGTGAGGGGTGCGGGAGGTCGTATCATGGCAGATCGATTACGGGGTTGCAAATGTCAGTATAGCATAAATGAATAAAAGCGTGATATTCAGCTGCACGTTTGAACTTTATGAGTGCGCTTGGGCATTATATCGCGGAGCAGGCTTTGAATCGCGTGGTATTGACGCGTAACCTGCGAGAGTATGCACTCTGGGACGGATGACGCGACGAGGCGGACATGAACAACGACGCTAGTTACGTCATCCATCCATGGATCTGCCATGGATTCACGCACAGGGGAAAGAACACCTGACCGCGCAACACAGGAGCATCAGCACATCTACGTGCAGCTATTGAAAACTCCTATTTTGGATCCAGGAGTCTTAAGTCTGACTATCTCAGGGCATAAAAGACTATCCCAAAAGGCTAAGCCTCTCAAACATCTTCACCACAGGCGCCTCCCTCTTCTTCCCAACCTCCTGCAAGCTATCCCAAAGCGTCGCATCCCCACCGGTTGGCTTCATCGCCTCGCCCTCAACTCCAACCAGTACCCCATTGACACCCTCAGAGCTTCCAGCAGCTACAGGCGGATACATCTCCTTGATAGCATCTTGACACCGTTGCATGACCTCGTTGACAGCGTTGGACACAGCGTCAGCACGCTCTCTCATACCCCGCCTAACCAAACCTTCAACAAGCCGCTGAATCTCTTCTTGCATGCTATTGATACGCTCAATGAGGCGTTCGATGGAGTTTGTGAGATACTCTTCTTCGTATACTGTACCCTTCTTACCACGCGCACGCTTCCTCTCTTCTCTCCGCTTGTTCTTGCTTGTCTTGCGTGTGGTTGTTGTGTTCACCGTACCAGTCTGGTTCGTGTACCTGGTCATGAATGTACCACCGCTCGTTGTATCTGTGGGTGCTAGAGAGATATTGTCGGGGATGTTGGCGTCGGCAGGACCGTCGATCATACCCTCGTAGAAGGCCATTGGATCTTCTGCTTTCTTGGCCCTGAGTTCCTTGAGCCGAGGTACCTGGGCTTGCAGTTGGCCCTTCATGTCGGCGAGGAACTCTGTCATGTCTGCACTACGCTCGATGAGGCCGGGGTCGATGACTTCGGTGATGAGAGTGGGCTCGCGGCGGAGTGTGACGATGCGAATTGCTTCGGCGAAGTGGCAGCCTCTGCATAAGAGACGTGCCGCGGACGCAAGGTCGGAGAGGTAGTCGAGTGTTATTGATGAAGCTGACAGGTAGTCTTTGGATTCTGCGAGGCCTTCTGCGAGATCTGTCGCAATGCTTGAGAGTTCATCTGCGCTTACGTCGGCGAGAATAGCAGACGACAAAGCCTCACGCCAGAGGTTGGCTGAACGATAGCAAGGCCAAGCGGAGGCATGATCGTTGAGGTATTCGTACGCCAATGCAGCTTCTTTGTTCTTGTTGTTAGTACTCAAGAAGTCTGCGTACAACCTCATGATTTCTTTCAGACGGGTGCTGTCGTATTGGTACATGCTCAAGGCTTCAGGGTAGAGATCGTGCTTTTGCACATAGTCTTGTACCTCATCGTAGGCTTGAAGATCCTTGAGATGCGTGAGCGCTTTCGCTCTTCGTCCGAGCTGGTCGTCGATCTTGAACTTGCGACGAGTTTCGGGCAGATCTTGCAGAGACTGCAGGTGTGGCAGATACTCTCGCGGATCCTATTGAGAGTCAGCTGCTAATATGACCCATGCATTCGATCAGCATACCTTTTGTGACTGTTGAGCGATCAGCAGGGCAAGGTCAAGGTTGTACAGTCCCAAAGATGTGTCGTATAGTTGGTTGACGTCTGCAAGGAAGCATATGTGTTCGGCGGCCTTGTCAGTGAGGGGATCGTTAGATGCTGTGACATGTTAGAACTGCGGAAAATGCAAATGTATAAGGCTCACCTTGTAGGCGACCTATCATAGCAAGACCTGTTTCCAGAGCTGGTGGTGTCTTGGAGACATGGGCTGTGATGATGTTTTGCAGGTGCGCGTCCTTGTACTGAGACTTCTCTAATACGGTTAGGAAAGCGTCGCATATCCGGTTTACTTTGTTCTCGACTTGATCTTGGGAGAGCTTTGACTTCGTAGCTAGATCTTTCGTCTTCAACGTTTCCTTATACATGGTTTCTGATACGTCCTCGTTACTAAAACAGTCAGCAACCATCTTCCAAGATGTATGGTTAATCGCTTACCGGAGCTGCGCCAGGAGCAAGTCAATATGTTCTATCTTCTTGATCTGTGAAATAATCTTCTCCAGGCTCGCCATGAACCGCTCCGGATCGTGATCATGAAGTATGTTCAGATCGACGCGCTGATTACGACAAGCAAAGAAGGCTTCATCGTAACGCTCTGCCTCGACGTTGCGACGGATAGCAGCAAGCACAAGCGCTCGCGGATAGATCGTCTCAAGATTACCTCTTGGCATCTGCAACACGACTGAGTATGTCGTAGGCATCACAGTAACGATCTTTGCTCCTCTTTCAATGCTCCTGCATCTCTCATCCTTTTGTGGCTCGTCTGCGGGTACTTCGAGCTCTGGTGAATGTCAGAACATGCTTCCTGTTCTCATATCGTAGGGTGGGCTTACCATCTGCACTAGCGAGATGCACAAACTTGAGTAGATGTTGTGTCGTTGTGAAAATGAGATGCGCGGTAGTAACCACGAAAGAAGTGCAGTTGCGGACCAGTATGCGCTCATTGGCGTATAGCACCCCACTCTTTGTCAATCCAAATGCCAATGTCTGGCCATGTTAGCTAGCTGATGCGACCTCGCGGAGAGTAGATTTGCGTACCTGGCCTTCAACATTGATCACTTGAACCTCGGGCGCAAATGAAGGAAACTTGTGCACAAAAGGCGTTAGGGGAGCACAATCCGATCTCAGCTCATCTACAACAACCTGATGTAAGGCACCATTCTGAAACTCGATGTACGGAGTTTCTTGATGGACATTAGCCAAAAGTAGAGAAGCGTTCTCGGTCTCCATTATGTGTCCTTGGGGCAGTAACACATCGCCTTCAGACTGCCAGAGCGAGCTTTCCTCTTCGTCCCAGCTGTCTGCTAGTACAAAGATCTGATCCTCACCAAAGAATGTGACGTGGCGTGGTGACCCATGACTTATCGCATCACTGCGCCAGAGGAGACTAGGCTTGGGTATAGGCCGCTTGTTGAGATCGAGAGCATATACGGCAAGGTCGCTGTCGGAGAGCACTGCCAAGCGATTGCCAGATTTTGAAAGCGCTACGTCCATGGGTTTTGAGTCGAGAGCCAGAGTGTGAAGTGACATGGGAGGTGGCACATTCGCGATGCGAAGTGGTGTGAGTTTCAGGAATACTTGCAGTAATCAGTATCAGACAAATCACGTATCTAGAGTTCATCACTCACATCCATCTATTGAAGCAATCATGCCAAAATCGTTCGGTGGGGCGACTGAGCCGGCCGAGATTGTAGACGCGTACTCAAGCACTTGGAGCGCATCTAGACCGTACTTAGTCATATTAACCTTGCGTTGACGAGGGGCAACTTACCAGGAGTTGACAAAGCTACTGCGAGCGGACGCTCGGCATGCCAACTACATATGACTGTCCGAGGAGCAGCCTCCGGAAATCGAAGTTCTTGCTTGAGATAGTAGTGGTAGTTACTCATCGTCCAAAGTTGTACTTTGTCAGGATATGATACAGCTAACACATTGGAGTCGCTATTCCACTTAAGTGTTAACGGAACCGAGAGGGCCGCAAGCTCTTCCGGGGTAAATCGAAGATCGAATTGGCCGTGGCGAAGACCATTCCGCTCGAAGAAGACTACCTCAATCTTATCTCCGGTCCGGCGAGTACTCGCAATCAGATTGCCTGATGGTCTCCAACTGAGAGCCCCTTCAAGGCCATCCACAGGCTCGCTCACGCTGTCCAGCTGTCCTTCCCGGGAGTAGACACGGATCATGCGCCGGCGCTCTTCTTCGACCTTGCTTACTGCAAACCATGCGCCGTCACCTCTCCAGCTTATTGTGACAGAACGATCGTCTAGTGGGCTAAGTACACCCTCGTCGATACTTTCGGGTACTGTTGGATCTTGCAGTGCTCTGGCTCGTTTGCCTTTGAACTGTGTCTCTTTCTTTCCCCAACCAACCGAGACATGACTGGAGACGTTGACATCTTCGGGAGTGAGATTGATACTCGCAATGTTTTCGATATCGCGACTCATCAATAGTAAGGTGTCGGCCTGTGTGGTGATGGCGAGAAGTTCTTCATCTGGTGACCACGCAGCAGCAGAGATACCGGCATCGACTGAGCCCACGATCTCAACTAGCTCTTCTGTGGATGATGGCTCCTCCCGCACAAGCACGATGTCTCCTCCGGCCAAAATCAAACATGATGTCGAAGTGTCGGCGAAATGGTGCAGGCTCAAGATTGAGTCATGGGTAAGCGAGGGCAGCGGGCACGGCGCATCCCACGATGCGATGCTTTCAAGCTTTTCCTCGACGCCGTTGCGAGTATAATGCAGCCTCTTGAGTTCGATGGTCGCACGTGATTCCGAAGGGCCGAAGGCGCATACCAGTGCATTTGAGGCGGCGTCCCATGCAGTCGCCGTTAACGGTAGTGGCTCGTCTCCAGAAAATCGCAGGAGCGACCTTCCTACAATCTTGAGGTTGCGCATTGCCGAAGAATCATGGGCTGTGTTCGTAGCAGTGTTGCGTCCTGTTGCTCGAATGACTGGTCACTAGCCCGTTGGCAGAATCGCGCTTCCGAATTTTTGGTGATGCTAGCGCCGAGCTTCTACCGAAGAGTAATGCAACCCATCTCATCGTCATCGAGGTGTTGCAAATGAATCACGTTCTCTCACCTTCCACCCCCTTATCTCTATCTGCACAGAAGCAGATGCTTCTTTTATAGGGCCAAGTTATAGTAGAAGAGAATTGCGGCCCCTTATTCCGGAGTCGAAGAGACAGCTCTTACCCACTGAGGTATCCAATGAGTAATATCACGACTTGTGATTTGCATGCGTTAGATCACATGGAAGACAGACAATGAGATTGATGCTGTGGTGTCTATACAGGTCTCCGAGCGACCCTCCAATATTCTACAAATCCCGTGTCCCTCCCATAATCCAGGATCGTGCCCACGCTCCGAATGACTGCATCTATTTGTTCTTCTTTGTCTGCCAGACTGTAGTAGGAATTCTGTTAGATGTGTTCGTGTAGTTGTTATCAGCGAATCGGGCGCCTCACCAGCAAGGAGGAATGGCAGGGAGAATCCGGTGGCTGCAGATGTTAGCACAGCCCAGTAATTGCGACGCGCCAGTGCGTACCCATGAATCCCCAGTACTTGAAGGCGAAGCCTTTCTTCAGCGGGTCAAATGGCAAGTTGCTGCGTGGGCCCTCGGGGTAGTGGTATGGGCTGGCGAACTGGGCGCGGGTGGACTGGAAGCCGCGGCGGGCGACGAGCGTTGGGGCCGAGGCGGCGCGGAAGGTAGCACGGGCAAGCATCTTCGGAGGTCAGCTGGTGATCCAATTGGCGTGGAGTTGGGGCGTACTTTGTCTGTGTTGTAGAGTGGAGAGGTTGCGGAGTTCTGGTCGCGGTGGTTCGATGAGTTGCAGCTCCCACGGCTGCCATGTCTTGGCAATGACCCGCTTAGTAAGGCCCATCAAAGTTTCTCGATCTCCGTTGCGCCTGCCTTCTATAATCTTTCGCGACAGGTCAAAACTGCCTGTCTGGTCCACCACGCAACCCACGAGACAACCGCACTCAACCGCGCACAGAGTGAAACCAACCACCCACCATGGACGACGACATGTTCGACGTCTTCGAGGGCGGCCCGTCCACGGACACCGCGCCTCGGAAGAACAAGAAGCGCCAGGCGAATGGCACCGTCAAGTCGCCTGAACCCGTCGCTGACACTGCTATGGCGGATGCGCCTGCACAATCATCTGAAGCCCCGAACGACAGCAGTAGCGCGCAGGCTCTGAAGAAGAAGCAGAAGCGGGACGAGCCCGAGCCTATAGTTACCGACGATTTCGAGACAGAGCAGACGCGCGAAATGGCTGCCGCAGCGGGTCTTCAAGCGCAGTCGCAAGAGGGTCAGGCAGTGGTGCTTTCGCATCAAGTCCGCCATCAAGTCGCACTCCCTCCGGACTACGACTACGTGCCCATTTCCGAGCACAAGGCCCCCGCAGAGCCCGCGCGCGAGTGGCCTTTCACTCTAGATCCTTTCCAGCAGGTCTCGATCGCCTCGATACAGCGAAACGAAAGTGTCCTGGTCTCAGCGCATACCTCGGCCGGAAAGACCGTTGTGGCAGAATACGCCATTGCACAATGTCTCAAGAACAACCAGCGAGTCATCTACACCAGTCCTATCAAGGCGCTCAGCAACCAGAAGTACCGAGAGTTTATGGCAGAGTTTGGCGACGTCGGTCTGATGACTGGTGATGTCACCATCAACCCCACTGCAACCTGTCTGGTCATGACGACGGAGGTATGTACGGAACGGGCTCGAAGATGATCACGGCTAACCTATTCAGATTCTGCGCTCCATGTTGTACAGAGGTTCCGAGATCATGCGCGAAGTAGCTTGGGTCGTGTTTGACGAGGTTCACTACCTGCGCGACAAGTCAAGAGGTGTCGTCTGGGAAGAGACTATCATTCTACTGCCAGACAAGGTCCGCTACGTCTTCCTCTCCGCCACCATTCCCAACGCCATGCAGTTCGCCGAATGGATCACCAAAACCCATAGTCAGCCGTGCCACGTTGTCTACACCGATTTCCGTCCGACGCCGCTACAACACTATTTCTTCCCTGCTGGTGCCGACGGTATACATTTGGTCGTAGATGAAAAGGGTGTGTTCCGCGAAGAGAACTTCCAGAAAGCCATGTCTTCCATCGCGGACAAGGGCGGAAGTGAGGCCAAGGACTTCATGGCGAAGCGCAAAGGCAAGGGCAAGGACAAGAAGACCAACACGGGTGGTAACAAGGACCAGACGGATATCTACAAGATCGTCAAGATGATCATGGTCAAGAGCTACAACCCGGTCATCGTCTTCAGTTTTAGCAAGAGGGAATGCGAGAACTACGCACTCTCCATGAGCTCTCTCGCTTTCAACGACGACTCCGAAAAGGCCATGGTGACCAAGGTCTTCAACAGCGCCATCGAGATGCTGTCCGAGGAGGACCGACAACTACCCCAGATTCAACACATCCTCCCCCTTCTCCGGAGAGGTATCGGTGTTCACCACTCCGGACTTCTGCCTATCTTGAAGGAGACCATTGAAATCTTGTTCCAGGAAGGGCTGATCAAGGTGCTCTTCGCCACCGAGACTTTCTCAATCGGATTGAACATGCCGGCAAAGACAGTCGTTTTTACCAGTGTGCGCAAGTTTGACGGAGTATCGCAGCGATGGGTCACGCCTTCAGAATTTATCCAGATGTCCGGTCGAGCTGGACGTCGTGGTCTCGATGACCGCGGTATTGTCATCATGATGATTGGCGAGCAGATGGAGCCTGCTGTGGCTAAGGAGATTGTCCGCGGTCAGCAGGATAACCTCAACTCAGCTTTCCATTTGGGCTACAACATGATTCTTAACCTCATGCGAGTTGAAGGCATCTCCCCCGAGTTCATGCTGGAGAGGTGCTTCTTCCAGTTCCAGAGCACAGCAGGTGTCTCCAATCTAGAGAAGCAGCTTGAAAAGCTCGAAGAAGAAAAGGCGAACACCAACATTGTTGACGAGCCGGCCATCAAGGACTACTACAATCTGCGACAGCAACTGGACACCCATACCAAGGACATGCGGGATGTGATCATGCAGCCCAACTACTGCTTGCAGTTCTTGCAAGGTGGCCGAATGGTCAAGATCAAGTTCAAGGATTATGACTTTGGCTGGGGTGCTGTTGTAGCATACACCGCTCGCAAGGCTAACAAGGGCGAAGTTCTGCCACCTCAAGAATCTTACATTGTTGATGTTCTACTACCAGTCAGTAGCGACACCAAGTTTGTCCCAATGGTAAATGACGGCCTGCCGCCTGGTGTGCGCCCACCTGCGGCGGGAGACAAGGGCAAGATGGAGGTTGTCCCTGTGGTCCTGAACTGCATCGAATCAATTGGCCATCTCCGTGTCTTCCTGCCCAACGAGCTCAAATCGACAGAGCAACGGAACAACGTTCGCAAAGCACTGAGCGAGGTCAAGAAGCGCTTCCCTGACGGAATCGCTATCTTGGATCCCATCGAGAACATGGGCATCAAGGACGACAGCTTCAAGAGGCTGTTAAGGGTAAGCTTCACTATCAAGAATCTGCATTCCTGTCTAATATTGTGCAGAAAATCGAAGTGCTGGAGTCCCGTCTCCTCTCGAACCCTCTCCACAACTCGCCTAGGCTCCCCGAACTGTACAGCCAATATGCGCAGAAGATTGCGATTGGTGAGAAGATTAAGAGCATCAGGAAAGAGATTGCGAACGCTCTGTCTGTCATTCAGTTAGACGAGTTGAAGAGCAGGAAACGTGTGTTGCGACGCCTCGGTTTCATCGACGATGCCGATGTTGTGCAGCTCAAGGCCCGTGTTGCATGTGAAATCAGCACTGGTGATGAGCTCGTGCTTAGCGAGCTGCTTTTCAACCGCTTCTTCAATGAGCTGACGCCAGAACAGTGTGTCGCTTGTCTCAGTTGTTTCATCTTTGAGGAAAAGACGCAAGAAGTACCAGCGCTCAAAGAAGAGCTTGCCAAGCCATATCGCGAAATCCAGCAGCAAGCTAGGGTCATCGCAAAGATGTCACAAGAGAGCAAATTGACAGTCAACGAGGAAGAATACCTCAAGTCGTTCAAGTATGAGCTGATGGAGGTCGTCTTTGCCTGGTCAAAGGGTGCTACGTTCGCACAGATTTGGTACGTCCGCTTTGTTTCCGTCGCATGTAACGACAACTAACTTCGAGCAGCAAAATGACAGACGTGTACGAGGGAAGTCTAATTCGTCTGTTCAGACGATTAGAAGAGTTGCTTCGACAAATGGCTCAGGCCTCCAAGGTCATGGGAAGCGAGGAACTTGAGCAAAAGTTCACGGCAGCACTTGAACTCGTCCGCAGGGATTTGGTCGCAGCCCAGTCCCTGTACCTGTAATGCGTGAAGCATGTCTTGTATATTATGGTCTTGGTGGGAGTATTTGGTAGCATCATCGTTCAGCAGGTAAGTATGGCACTCACATGGCGTTCTCCTTTATGCGGTTGAATCAAAACGCCACTGGACATACCATTGTCTCAGGCGCACGCAAGGAACTTTCGACGCTGTGCCCCTCAAAGGAAGGGGTACAGCGTGAAAGCATCCTGGATAGAAATTCACTAGATCTGATGTTGTGGTCTTGCACCACGGCTGAGGATCCCCCACGTACATTCATCCAGATATGCATGGTGACATGATGTGCAATATAGCTTAGCATGGGTCTATTCGCACTTTCAGTACAGTCACATTCTATGAACGACACTGCGATGTACCAACGAAGAGTGATGCGTGAGATAATGCCAAGAAAGTTTAATATATTCTCAATGTATGAAGAATCGCTTGTAATCGCTATCATTATGCAAAAAGAGTACAAAAGATTTCCACCACAAAACGCCTTGCCATGCTTATGCACATTTAAACCTCTTCTCCATATTATATACCAACTCTCCGATTAGA